CTGCGGGTGTCGCTCCCCGAGCCGGCTCCCCCGCGATCCCCCGAGCGAGGCCTTGGGTCTGATGGCTTGTGTAAAGCTGCCTTGGCTTCACGGGGCCGATAAACAGCTAAGCGGCTTCGAAGAGCAAGGTGCACCTGATCAACCTCTGTCCGTCTCCAAAAGAGGCATATTCTTGTCTGGGCCAAAGATGGGACGGACTCTGCTACACAGGTTGTTCGTTCAACTCAGTCAAACAGGATTAACTTCTGCCATTCCGTGATTTTCAGTTAAGAATCAATTTTATTTAAAAATTTCCATGCTTAATGGATATTCTTCCAAGTATTTTCCCTAGAGATCGGTCTTGCTCAACTTTTTCGAAGTACAAAGAAAAATCTGCAGTGCCTTAGTAGTCTTATCGTCAGTACTCCATTTTCTGCTAGTAGCAGACTAAAATTCAACCTTGATCAGATACACCATAGTGCATTTAGATCAGTGGATTGCTCCTGTGCAAGGTTTTACACTGATTTGCTTAAATTACAATAAATGAGTATATTGGTAACCAAGATTGTGTCTTTTTTTTGGTAAGGAATTTCTTTTTCGGTTGGTTTGACATTTTTTGCATAGTGTGTATATAAAAACACAAGTTGATTCTGAAGTACAAACACTGCAGTTTCTTAACAGTTAACCGAATCATTAATTTAAGATTAATTTTCTTCTTGATTTCTAAAGTATGGAGGAGCTCCAGGAGGACCAGCATTCCCTGGACAAGCTCAGGATCCTTTGTATGGTTATTTTGCTGCAGTAGCAGGGCAGGTAAACTTACAAAATGTTATTTATTTCTTGGATTTTTTTTTTCTGGGGAATAAATTCTACATTAGCTTTTGGAAAGAGGAATGCCTAATATTTGCAGTGAGGAAAACTTGTTTCGAGTTTAAAAAAAAAAATGGAATAGTTTTACTTAGCTGTATAGCTATACCATATAGCTATATATACACAGTAACTATAAAGTTTGAATAATGCTGGTAGTTTCTATATAGTATGTGTATGTGTGTGTAAATGCATATATATATACACATGTATGCATGTATGCGCTATATTTCCTCTGTAAGTATATACAGGGACTATACAGTTATATGAAATGTTGTAACTTAATTGTGGCTCAGCTCTGGGTCGGGGAATGCTGTGAGTTTCAGGGGAAAGAAGCCAGAAACAAGGGGAAGCACGGGCTGTGGAGATGGCCTGGCTAAGAGCAGGAAATGCTAATAAGAAAGAGATCGTTACATGATCTTAATAGACTCACAAACGGAAAAGCAGTCTTGAGTTGTGGCAATATCTGGGTTTGCTGGTAGGATAGAGTGATTATTCTCTTAGAGGAGAAGGCATTCACAACTTTCATTTAGGCCTTTCTTTTTTCTTCCCTGTCATTCTGCACTGCATTTTTAATTTGTTTCCTGTAATTTTGTGGCGTATATTGGTTTTGTATGATTATGGATGTTACTAGAAATAAGTAGTTCTTGAACTATATTACAAAGTTCAGCAGCAAATAAGTTAGGTTTATTGAGCTGAAGTTCTGACTTTGTTGGCCATATGTATAGCTATTTATTGCACGCTTCCAGGGTGTGTGCAAATCTAAAACTCTGCTCCTGGATCTGTTATCCGCAGGTAGACATAACCACGACATGAAAGTTTGAATTCAGCAATATTAGCTGATGTTTAAATTCCCAGTTTAAGACTGTAATTGGGGTCATTTTTGTTGTCTACATTATTCTTTTGAATCAATAATGCATCTTACAGTCTATATATCTTTAACATTGCTTATGAAAATATGTAGACCATGTATTTTTGTAGTAAAGGGGAACACTGGAATGACCTATGTGTAGTGAGGCAGGCCTCTTTGGTAGGGTGGAGCCCAAGCTAATTCTGCTGAACGTGCTGACAGTTTGCCTGCCAGCTGAGATGGCTCTGCATCCAGGTGCCACCAGGACATGTGCCAGGAATCAGCAGTGGAGCCAGTAACTGGCACTGGAAAAATGAGTAAGCTCCTAGCGTAAAGAGAAAGGGAGGTAACAGCAAACAGGACGCAGCCCTGTGGAGAAGAGGTGGCAGGAGCTGGACATCAGCAAAGCATAGACGATCCCCTGCTTCTCAAGCGAGGCATGGTTACTGAAAGCTGGGGAACCAGTGAGCTAATGGGTATGATCAAGTTAGTGCTTAAGAGTACTTAAGTTAGTACTCTTAAATACTTTTTGTTTGTTTATCAGCGGCTTTTACAGCCATCCATGCAAGTCTGTTAAAAGCAATGTCTCACAGTTCTCCGTAAGTAGTTGTTGTGGAATTAGTAAAGTTTTTGGCTATGGTTTGCTGCTCTCTGTGTTGTTTTTATGCCTGTGTAATATATAAAGTTCTCTCTGAGCTTTAGAATCATAGAATCATAGAATCGTTCAGGTTGGAAAAGACCTTTAAGATCATCAAGTCCAACCGTTAACCTATCACTGCCAAGTCCACCACTAAACCCTGTCCCTAAGCACCACATCTACACATCTTTTAAATATCTCCAGGGATGGGGACTCAACCACTTCCCTGGGCAGCCTGTTCGAGTGCCTGACTACCCTTTCTTTGAAGGAGTTTTTCCTAATATCCAGCCTAAACTTCCCCTGGCACAACCTGAGGCCGTTTCCTCTTGTCCTATCACTTGTTACTTGGGAGAAGAGACCGACCCCCA